CCTGACTGTATTTGGCTAAGATACTTAATGAAGGTATGGTCTTCTGTATAACATGACATGAATTTATTCCAGTGAAATTACTAACCCTAACCTTCCTTATCCAAATATGTGGGGAATAGGTATAGGGAAAAAAATCCAAAAGGTTTAGATAATTAGGTTATTGATGTGGGATGATTACATAGACTTGAATCTATACAGGAAGCAAAAGGAAAATTCTGAGAGAAGACCAAATATGTTACCTTCTAATGGAAATGTATTAAAGTGGGTACATATTTATTGAATAGCTAACCTTATTGTATTAATTGGAGATATATTACATGCAGGATAAATATTTTAGCACAGAATCAAGTAGTGAATATTTTGGAAACAATGGTGTTTTAAGTGGTTTTCACAGAGGGCCTTGCATCTAAGAATTCACCGGAGTTGGACAGCCAGTAAATTTAAATAAATAATAATAATCTCACTCTATGGTGACCTTCCTGTATGTGGAACATATTCATTTCACTATATATCATGTAAAACTATTATACATCAAAAACATGTCTGTATCAAGTATTCCGTATTTTTATTATTTAAAGAAACAAAGGACAGCTATGTCTTTTGTTGTGCAATTATTCCTTACCCTTCAGTGGATAAGGATGGGAGGTTAAAAAAATGCAAGATGGCAGTTGCATACATTTCACAATACAAAGAGGTGAGGCTTTGATCATACTGCGCCAACCGCCATCTTGCCTTTTTTGATTCCCCTAGTGAGCAATGCTGTTGTCCCTTCTTGACAGAAAAACATGCAGAGTGTAGCTTAACACTGTGGTATTTATAAAACAGAGTTAAGACTGCAATTGCTGAAAAACGTCAAATACTGGTGTTTATCATAAAGACCTACTTTTTTGTCTCAGATCCATAGTTCGAATCAAACTCCAGTGCATATATGCTCTTGTGTCAATAAACAAATATTTTGAAAATCTTAGAGTTCAAAAGATTTGATATTTTTTCCACACATTTCTAGCACATGATCCTTTTTCATGGATCATAGTCTTCATACATTTAGAGATGTGCCAAGATGACAGAGACATGCAGATATTCTTCAGATCATGTTTAACACCTCTACTTAAGTCTGCTCCCCATCAATCTTATTGTTTTTCACCAGAACAGTTCGATCTGTTAAGTGGAATACAGAATTTCTTGTCTAAGTCTTATACTGTATTCCTTGTTCCATTGTACATATTGATACACAGCTGTTTTAAAATCTAAGTTCATTTTTAAAAAAGCAATGCTCTCTACAAGCCTAGAGAATCTTTTGTAGGGTCTAAAAGCATTGCTGCAACTAAATGTAATACTACAGCTTAATTTTTTAAATTAAAAGAATATTTTTAAATGTGCACAGTGGGAATGTACATAGCGACTTGCATCTGTTTTGGTATTTGGAAAACTATATTTCAAACCAAAACAATTATCCATATCCTTTCCATGGAAAGATTAGCTAAATTATCCTTACTACAAAACTTAAACAAAACAAAAAATCCTGCATCTCTTTCTACCAGGTACTCATTTTCTGCCACAGGGCCCTATCCTGCCTTAAAAAAACAAAAAACAAAACACCTAATATAAACACAAACTCTGATTATCAATAAGAAAATCTCTGACCCAATTAAAAAACCAAACCTATGAATGCTACGTTATTTCTCTGGTTCCTATGTGCAATGCTTATTTATACAAATCCTGTGTTACAGTTGGACATCTTTTAACAACCACATTTCTCATGCATGCGTTATCTTTCTATCCCATCTCTTCTCCAAGAGTTTCAGATAGTTCACATGGTTGCCCACTGACATCCTGAATAGGCTGAGACATAGCGATTCTGTCAATCAATGACCTTCATGACTGGGTAAAGATGTAAACCTGGAACTTATCCTAGTCTAATTTAACTGCTGTCACCAGTGTGAATCTAGGCAACTCTCCTGATGCCAGCTAGGATCCCTGTCCCACCTAAACTTTTAAAGATATTCTTTTAAGGTAAAACATTTAAGACCTAGCATTATATTTAATTGCAGCTATGTTTTCAGACCCTACAAAAGATTCTCTAGGCTTGTAGAGAGCATCCTGGGGGGCTAGCTTGCTTTTTGATAAATGAATTTGTTGTGTTAAACCATGCTCACCATAACAGCTGTTTTGAGAATAGGTAAATCTCTCAAAACAGTCATTTTGTGAATGTGCCCATTCACATTTGTTCACATTCTCAACATTTCAAATATGCCTCTAGCTTAAAGCAGCTGCCCATTCAGGGTTAAATTACTACCCCAAAGTGTCAATAACTTTTAACCTAATGTGTGCTGACATAATTTCTGAACCAAGGGACTACACATTCGGGGCATGGGAAAGGAGGCTTAGTGACAGTATCCCTGAAATGGGCCAGGCACCAGGGGTTTTTTGGTGTTTTTAAAAAAAATTTATTAAATAAATAATGCAGCTTATAGAGCTGTTAATGTTTTTTTGCTGACAGTGGCACAATGCATAAACGTTCCGGTGACCACGAAGGATGAATTCAAGAGATGTGTTTGCCAACAAGCTATCTATCCTTGTTCTTAATAAGGAGATCAGAATGTAGATCAGAATGTGAAACCGTTATGGATAAAACATGTTAAATAGAAACATTTTTAGGAAAGAAAGCAATTTTAATATCAATTAACTTAATCTTTTCAAGTTGATATTTTAAATTTTATTTATTTATTTAATGGATTTTTAAAAACCATCCTATTCACAAGTTGTGACTCTGGGTGGGATACTTCAGTGAAAAAAAAAGGCAATTAATTTAAAAAAATGCAATACAGAGCCAATATAGCAAAACATAACCAACACATAGCTGAGGCTGGGTGTAGCAAGCATTTACTCTTGCAACAGAATGGGCTCATCTAACAGGAAAAATCTAACAGGAAAAAGCCAGGCTTTCACAGCTCTATGGAAGACTAATAGTGAATGTTTTAAACTGAAAATAACCACAGTTAATAACAATACAATCCAGAAATTCCCTCAGTATACCTATTTTGTAAACTTCCGATTACATACATACAATAGATTACAATTATAAAGATATAAATATTAGTATTTATTATTTAGTAAAGCATCATGACAATGCTCCAATTTAGTTCTATATGATTTATTCTGTATGCTTTTTTAAAAAGATATATTCACTGAATGATCTTAAATATTCAGTTTTTGGATCAGCTTAACTTTTTGAACTTAGACATTTGCATCGATATACTTTAGAACAGCCCTTGAGCTATTTGGAAGTTCTACAGAATTCATTGAACAAATAACGTATTAATAAACTTTCAACCTTGTTTTCTGATGGAAGACTGAAACATTTGAAAAAAACATTTTTACTTATAATCAGATTAGATATTAGAAAGATTTGCAGATTCTCTAAAATTAAATATAAATGCTTAATTTTATTTTTGATAGAAAATTCATTCTCCTGTTGCAATATTACATCAACTAAAAGTCCCCAGAAAAGAAAATGGTCCTTTTTTGCATTCCCCGTTAATCTTACTGTAAATCTCATGCTTGGTATTAAAAAAAGAATGCCAGCAAGACAAATATACACGAAGGCCAGAACACACAATTCAACTTTACAAATTACAGGCCTTTATTAATTTGCATGAAGTGTAATTATTTTCAAATGCAAGTTTGGTAGACAATAGGTGAGAATACAAAGTTCAACATGAAGATTTTCCTAGAAAAAAGGGGATTCCTTCACTCCCTTCTAAAACATGCTGGGAGTCTATTCATTGCAATACTGGATCTTAAAAGCATTCCATTTTGATTACTTGGCTTGGGTTATCAAATTCGACCACAGAATGAAGTCTGCTCATCACAAAGATCAGGTGACAACCAAAAAATTGATAGAAACTAAAATGCCTTTAAAAGACAGGAAGATTGTCTGATTTCAGAATGATGCACGTGCACTTTAGATAACTGCAATGCAACTGTACCTTAGAAGATACATAATCTTCTACTATTACAACACTCTTAAAGTAAATTACTCTTAAGTGGACCATTTATTAATGTAATTTTCTAATTCAAATCCTTTTAAAACTGTTTATAAAGCTTTATAAAGTTGCCTGTGTACTTTTGCCAAGTAGTTTTAGCCTGGACAGCAATTATTCTCCCCCACCTATATTTACGCTAGCTAAAACAATACAGTAGCTACGCATAGGTCAAAACAATAACTGTTATGGATTATGTAACTACGCTGGCAGTGGCATGTAGCATGGCTCCACTGCTGATGGTACTTCTCACATAGTAATATCAAAAGAGCCCAACTGAAGGATGGCCTTCAGCAAATAAACTACGATAAACATTTTAGCGTGATTCTATGGGAAAACTTTTAACTTTCAGTCATGGGGCAGGAGAAGGGGACAAGAGATAGACAACTGGATGACTCTGTGAAGAACAACAGGTGTGGAAATGTTAGTGCATTAAAAATAAACAGGTTAGATCAAAGAGTCAGTGAATAAGTTAAGGTATATTTAATTCAAATATTGGTTGTTTTCATTTATAACTAATCTAATGTACATATATTCTCTTTATTATTTTCACATATTCCAAGAATCCACCTTTCTCTCTCACAGAGATTTACAAACAAATATGGCACTTTCTAGAAGGTTATCATGGGATGAAAGTTTTATAACAATGATTGTTATTCTTGAAAAAAGAAAAGAAAAAGAAAATCATTCAAATGAATTTCTTTCCTGAGCAACTTAAAATTTGGAATGTGCTGAAAAGTCACAATAAATAAGCAAAAAAAAAAAATGAGCAAACTTAAAATGTGCTTCTAAATTATTTAAAGTACATTGTTTCTTGACAGATATATGGCCTGTTGTTTCAGAAATCTTAAAAGCTTATGTGCCAAATAAATTTATGAAGTACCTTTCTGGGAATAGAATAGAAGCCAAGTTGCTTATATAAAAAATATACAACATTAACATCTAGCAAATAAATCAACTGACAGCTCTTGCTTTTAACATTTCAAAGTATCTGTGGCAAAGAACAATATTAAATAGCAAGATAAAAATAGATTCTAGTGAAATTGCAGAGAAAGCAAACATGTTAAGTAACCCAGGATTCTTGTAGCACACACAAATTTTAACTTTTTAAAAACATTCCAGCATGTGAATATTAAATTGCTCCCCAAAAGAAAACAATTCCACAGTGTGTAAACTAATCATTACTCTTTAAATGTAATTTCATAGAAACCACTTAATATACAATGCAGCATCTTGGTTAATTATTATTTCCAGCTCCCAGTATGTTCCAGAGTAGTGCAGTGGAACCACCTAGTGAGAAGATTTTTCATTCATGTAAGTGTTCAGCTACAACACAATTCTGTGTGTTCAAATCCTGCTAGTAGTATAGTAAAAAAACAAAAACAAAACCCAGAATGCAATAGATACTAGTTGATGCCTATAGGCTCTGAAAAGGGAATTTGTTAAATGGGTGTTGACTAATGCACACCAAAAGAAGAACCAGTAACTTGGGTAAACGGAACACGTGCACATCTGCTATATCTTTGTTCTTTAGAGTGGTAATTTTTGATTATCAGTCATAAATGTTGACTATTCTAGCCAGAGTACAATTTGAGTATGCTGTTAAGGGTATCTGCTCCTTCTCTGTATGCAAGAGTTAGGCTTCAACTTCTTTGAGAGAGAAAAAGAACTGATGACATCTGAAGGGATCACAGCATATTCCTCTTCAATGTTGTTTGTCAGTATCAGATTTTCAGAGTGCCTGAGCCATATTCATTAGAAATTTTCACCTTCAGAAATAATGTCTTGAAATCAGAACCAATCAATTTCATCAGTAACTAATGCATTTACAATGTTACAGATATATTTTTTTCAAAGACCAACTCTTCCCATCCCACAAAGTTCTTGTTCCCCTCCTTTTATGGGTATTTGCTTACTGACAAAACTACTATGGAAAAAGAGGATCTCTTTTAAAATAAAAAGGAACATCTGACACTTTCCCCTACAGCTTAAGTTTAATTTCCATTAATATTGTCCCCTTCAGTTTTACTCAACCTCAGCATTGTACTGATATTTAACGATAACCACCTTCCCAATTCCACCCGTGCTACAACTCTCATTGTTGCCAGCCAATACTGGCAATACAGACAAACTGGGAATCACTGAAGTTATAGTCCAACATATCTAGAGGACACTAGACTGCGGAAAACTCATTAACTTGGTTTCTCCATATTCTATTTTGACTGTTGATAATAGCCTGGTTTCCCCTTTTCAATTGGTATTAGTAGCAATGGACAGCTTTATTATTTCAGAACAACAGCATTCCTTATTCAGGTGATGACAAACTTCTTATATCATGTTATTACTTCAATGTGCTCAAATAAAACTGTAACAGGTTAAATTAAATGCTACATCAGGCAAGCTAGTTTTGTGAAAATTGCAAATGACCAACATGGTGATGTATATCATTCTGCAAATAAGTACCATATACAGAAATATTTTACAATATCAATGTTATTTCTAATGAAACAAGAGATGGTATACTTAAAAGTATGTTCTAACTACAATAATTCTATGGAGCCAAGGAAACAAACAAACAAAACATTTCAACAAATACACCTTCTCAGAAAAGGGTCTATCAGTTCAATCTAGGGGAAATGTCTTTTTAAATGCTGCTGTGCATTAACTCACTTTCTTCAGATTTTTCTTAACATTTTTAAATGATCTGGAATCAGTCTTGCATCACCTTTTATAAATATCTTCTAACCACTTTTCATCATCTTGCTCCTCATCTTCTGTCACTGGCTCTTCAGTTTCAAGAAGAGAAGGAATGGCAAATTCTGGCCTAGGAGAAGAGTTACCACTTGAAGATCGTAATCCAAACTTGCGTTTTAGCAGGTGAAACTGCTCTTTGACATAGTAGTAGAATTCATATTCATATCTCATGCGTTGGTACAGGATCTGGATGGATTCTGGTGATGGGACGGTCTTTTTCACTGTCACAGTTAGATTGCCAAGCTTCCTATGCTCTGTAAGACATTTGCATAAAGAGGAATTTATGTCAAGACAATCACTTTTTTTATTTTCTGAATTACCAACATTTCCCCTGCTATAAACATAGTCCCTTGAAAGAAATGAGACTGCAAATACTTCAAAACTGAAATATGGGCTTCATTTTTTAATCATACCAGTATATCATTATCTAAGACAAAACATTAATTTCAAATTACTGTAAGATTGTGAATAGGAGATGGTACTTAAAATATTCTAACTTAAACAGAATTCAGAGATTTGACTATGACCCCAGAATTCTCATAATGAGTAAATCCAAGAGAGAACTCAAATTTTATGCCAAGATCCTTCAACTCTCAAGTTGTGTCAATGAGATTACAAAGAGCAAAAGTAATCAGGGCTAAACAGGTTATGTATAAATCATATTGAGTTCAGTGTGAAAAGTTCATCATGACAATTTCAATCCCACAATTTCAGTCCCACTGGAACATATCTTAATCTGGAACCAACTTACAAGTTGATAGTGATTATGACAGAGAAAAAGAAGAAATGATAACTGGAATGTGATTGGATTCTCCTGGAATCCTCAATGCATCCCTTATCTTCATTCATTTATATGTTTTTAGAAAAACAAGTCAATCACTAAACCCTTTTAATACAGCATATTATGTGTTTTATCCAGTATGAAACAGGTTAGCTGAAAATGATATGTGCAGTTTCCTTTTCTTCCTTAATCCAGGGAAGTGCAAGCTGTTGCCTCCCAAAAATTTAAAGTAGCACCCCAAGAGCCTCTGAAGTTTCTTTGAATTGTTCTTTACGCATGCCTTCAATCAGAATTGACCTGCCCAACCTGTGTGTCCCAGGAGAAGCTGCTGGTGATCCTCCATTTCTGCAAATTCTACAACGCATGTAGGCATTGATTTTTGGTGGCCTACACTATGCAATAGCTTCACTGTAGAAATCTGGCTGGCCCCTGGAGTTTTAGCCTTGTTCAAGTTTTAGAAAACTGACTTATTCTGGAGAGCTTACAGTAAGTGATAGAATCCCCAAGATTGCCTGATTTTATGTTTGTGGTTTTATAATTTTAAGTTTCAATTTTACTTTTACTATGGATGTTTTAATAAGGAGTGTCTTGCTTGTTGTTGCTCTTAATTACTATAAACTTCTGAGAGTCTGATCAATTACAGCAGATATTATTTTCATAACTTAAAACAAGCAAACAAACAAAAAACAAGAGGAAAATTATTAAACAAATGGGGATCATATGAATCAACTAAATTAAAATACTATTTATTTTTTGTCCTACCCCCATCCAGTTTTGGAATATGACTCCTGCACAAAAACCTTCTGCATTCCTACCTTAAATCCAAGGCTATGACTCAACAGTTTTGGAACATTATGTTTATATTACAGATAACAAGACATTTTTTTGTGGGATGGCAGGAAGAAGGATTCAACCTTTCAAATCTCATTTCCTCCAGCACTAAATACTTGCAAGCTGCCTCTACACAAAGCAAGAGATACTGGTAATGGATCTATTGTATCACCCTCTAAAGGAGAAGCTATGTGTAATATTATTCACCGCTATAGGTTTTAAAAATCAGCTGCTGGAGCAGCACTTACTCAGAACTGTAATGTGGAAGATGGACTTCAATCTTTTTTTCCTGACCATATGCTTTGGAACTGGGGAAATGGCATTGGTAGTGTCTGCACTGAAAGGAAAGTAATCTACGGCTAGTTATCTGAGACCCTACTCAACTCTTTGATTTGTGTCCAGATGCTGCTGTTGGCCCTATTTTGGACTTCTTTCCTTTACCCCAGACTCTTTTTATCTCCAGTTGTGACACTGGTTGAGCATTCCTGAAGAATAGCAGTGTAAATTACTGGGGTTGACATGTACCCTGTACAGTCAACTATTTACAAGAGTTTCTGCTGGCTCAGGAGCCTGTGCATTTCATCTTACTGTATTCCCACACCAGATTCTATTAGTTCTCCCATGTACTACATAGTACGGGCCTGATTCTGACAGAGGTTACAGTGGTGATAAAAGATTAAAATGGGCCAGGCCATTGTCCTAATATGACTGCCTGACCCAGCCCCACATTATGTTTAAAACCATACAGTGGCAAAACATGTGAACACATCATCTAGTTTGGCTCTGAAAAAGCCTCATAGAGGAATAAGTGGAGTGAATGTTACAAGGCTTTTTCATGAAATCTGTCTATGGGAATTTCCATCTCATTTTAATATAAAATAACTGCAAGCATTTTCCCCCAATATTAATAGCCATTTGAGTTGGGATTTTAATAATAAAATGTTAAAAATAAAATTACTAATAAATATTCTGGATGTTCATCTATACAAATTGCTCTTTCTGGGAAGAAGAACCAAAAAAATAAAGCCCACCCCACTGCGATAAAATCCTCATCCTCCATCATGATTGATGTTAACTTGCCATTATAGATTTGAGCCTAATTAACAAAATTACTAACCTCTATCATGGTGCTAATCTCCACCTTCTCATTTTGTTTACATAACTTTGTATTTTCTTTAAATAACTCTTCTAATAAAAATCTGAAGTAACTCTCAGACCTGTTTCTTGAAGTTACCACCCAACTCATCTATGAAACGGACATAATGAAAAAATGATGCCTGCCTGGCTCAATGCCAAACCAAACATACTAAAAATGCTGTGTAAACCCAGCTGCTTCAGTCGAAGACAGGGGACCCATATTTTATGACCTTCTAGACAGGTTGTCATATGGAGGGCAACAAACTGCACTATTTATTTTAGAAACTTTATTTTGTCTTACAGTATCTGCTTTGGCTTTTTATTACTTAAATCAACCAAAGCCCAGTTTGCAAGTTTGATAAAATCCATGCTAAAAACAAGGAAGTGCAAAAAATAAGGCAAAATGGTCATAAATATTTGCCATGTAAAGCAAAATACCAACCTTCCTTTTAAATATCTTAAAGCAATGGAAAACCAAAAATAATGCCTTGCTGTATATTATATATACTTCTCTGAAAGGAACTTTCTTTTTCCCAAAAAGCCCAAAACACTTACAGCTGTATGAACCACTAATTGTACAAAAAAATGTCTCTAGTTATTTCTACAATAAAATGATGACATGCAATAGATGTCATGAGATATATGACAATGCACTATTAAGACAGTGTTGTGATAACAGATCATATATATTTATTATTCTTACAGTCTGAACCTGTGAAAGAATGGGAAATCCCAGAGGCAATGTTTTGATACAGAGTTCTCAATGTTTATAGAAGCTTTACTCTAAAGACTGGCAATTTTCCAAGAAACTTGTGGAGCCAGCATCTCTCTTCAAATATAAGAACATCTAGCTCGTTAAAAATGAATATTAAATATGTTTATTTTAGCCTTTGTTCCTTCATGTTCTCTTAATGCTTCAAGACTAGAAGTTCTGTTTTTGGTTAAATGAATCTAATGTTCAGGTTTGATTTGTTCAGCTTTGTCTTCTTAAAAGAGACAATCAAGGAATTATATGATTGAATGTATTCTTTCCTCTTCTTCACAAATATAAAATTAAACAGTACTGTGTCTATAATCCATTTCAATCTGTTATTTAATTAAATCAGGGGGCATGACCTTCTATTGGCCAGGGAATGCAAATTATTTAATTATTTATTTGTCAAATTTATATATTGGAAAAGCTGCAGGATGCCTTCAATGATGTCACTAGCAGTGATGGGATGTTTTTTCTGCCCAGTTTTGCAGAATCGGTATGGGAAAACTCTAGGAGACAAAGTGTTCCTCTTTTTACCCTTGGACCTGCCCCTCTCCCCCACACAAACACACCGCAAAATCGTGCCACGAAAATTGGTGGCAAAAAGCCAAATTTCAGTTACGTGATTTTGGGACATTATTGAGGACATTTTAAGGGAAGAAAGGGAAGTGAGTTGTCTCTCACAGCCTTCTCACTCCCAGTTCCACTCTTTTTTTGGAAAATATTATGTGGGCTACTTGAACTGAATATGGATTGCAAGTTGAACTGAGATTTAAGGAGGAATGGGTCTTTTTTAACAATTCCAAAATGAAACATGGAGGAAGATAACTGATAGTTCTTTTTCAATATTTTGCTTTGAATTACACTGACATATTTAAAGTGCATATTAAAAAAATTATATCCATTTCTACTTAAAAGCAATTTTAGCAATAGATGGAAGGAAAGATGATATGGAAACTACATATTTAACTGGCTAGGAGTTCTAGTAATTCTCATGATTTATTTATTTGGTGAATTTATATAGCCGCCCATCTCGCATATGTGACTCTGAATGGCATACAAAGTTAAAAACACAAAAGCAATACAACAAAACAACAACAAAAACTATTAAAACATTAAAAACCATAAAAACCCCCGTAATCTGTGGGAGAGCAAACTCAATTTCCCTAGCAATACAGCCAGTTTGCAGCTCTATACCCACATTATTGGATCCCCGGGCCAGATGGCAAAGCCATGTTTTCAGGCCCTTCCGGAAGGCCATCAAGGTCGGGGCCAATTTGATCTCAGGGAGAATGATATTCCAAAGGGCAGGTGCCACAGTAGAAAAGGCTCTCCTCCTGGGTCCTGTCAGATGACATTTCTTCGTGGATGGGATCTGATGGGAAGGGTAGATGTGATTGGGAAGAGGCAGTCCCTCAAATAACCCGGCTCATGCCATGTAGGGCTTTATAGGTCATTACCAGCACCTTAAATTGAACTCAGAAGCAAACTGGTACCAATGTAGCTCGTGGAGCAGAGGTGTAACATTTGCTGATCTAGGTGCGCCCATAACTGCCTATGCTGCTGCATTTTGTACAGCTGAAGCTTCTGGATGCTCTTCAACGGCAGCCCCATGTACAGCATGTTACAGTAATCCATGCGAGAGGTGACCAAGGTGTGAGTGCCTGAGCATATTAAAAACAAGTCTCTCAATTGCTCAAAGTAGTGAACTCTACTTGGAATATTTCACAACCAGTATTTGAACTTGCATC